TCTGTTAAACTTCAACTCTAAGCGCAGAATTTTGTTGACTGGTACACCACTGCAAAATGATCTTATGGAATTGTGGTCACTGATGCATTTTCTGATGCCACATGTCTTTCAGTCTCACCAAGAGTTCAAAGATTGGTTTTGTAACCCGATAGCAGGGATGGTGGAGGGCCAAGATAAAATCAACAGAGAAGTTATTGATCGCTTGCATAATGTCCTCCGTCCTTTCCTTCTACGGCGCCTAAAAAGAGATGTAGAGAAACAACTTCCTTCAAAACATGAGCATGTTATTTTCTGCAGATTGTCTAAGAGGCAGCGCAATTTGTATGAGGACTTCATAGCAAGCACAGAAACACAGGCTACGCTTAACAGCGGAAGTTTTTTTGGGATGATAAGTATCATAATGCAACTGCGGAAAGTTTGTAATCATCCTGATCTCTTTGAGGGTCGACCTATCGTAAGTTCTTTTGATATGCCTGGCATTGATGTGCAGTTGAGTTCGAGAGTCTGCTCTCTGCTTTTGAAAAGTCCATTTTCCAGAGTCGATCTTGAAGCTCTGGGATTCTTATTCACCCATCATGATTTTTCTATGACTTCTTGGGAAGGGGATGAAATCCAGGCTATTTCAACACCCTCAGATTTGATCAAGCAGCGCATGGTCTTGAAGGATAATCCAGAAGAAATTCCTCTGAGTTTAGAAAACCGCAAAAATCTGCAGGGGACAAATATTTTTGAAGATATTCGCAAGGCCGTCTTTGAGGAAAGGGTTAAAGAATCAAAGGATCGGGCAGCAGCCATTGCATGGTGGAATTCTCTGAGATGCAGGAGAAAGCCTACTTACTCTACATCTTTAAGAACTCTTTTAACCATTAAGGGTCCACTTGACGATATACACCATCTTAAAGCTAATCGTCCATCTTACATGTATTCCTCAATACTCGCTGACATAGTTCTTTCACCGATCGAGCGTTTCCAGAAAGTGATTGAGCTAGTCGAAGCTTTCACGTTTGCGATTCCAGCTGCACGAGTGCCTTCACCTGTTTGCTGGTGCAGCAAAAGTGACTCTCCTATTTTTCTTAGTCCATCGTACAAGGAGAAAGTTACAGATGTATTGTCACCTCTTCTGTCTCCGATTAGACCCGCGATTGTTAGGAGACAAGTATATTTTCCGGATAGGCGGCTGATTCAGTTTGACTGTGGTAAGCTGCAGGAGCTTGCTATGTTACTGAGAAAATTAAAATTTGGGGGTCACAGAGCGTTGATATTCACGCAAATGACCAAGATGCTTGACATCTTGGAGGCTTTCATTAATCTATACGGTTATACCTACATGCGTCTTGACGGCTCTACTCCACCAGAAGAGAGGCAGACATTAATGCAGCGGTTTAACACAAATCCCAAGATTTTTCTTTTCATCTTGTCAACCCGAAGTGGGGGTGTTGGTATAAACCTTGTTGGTGCAGACACAGTTATCTTCTATGACAGTGACTGGAATCCCGCAATGGATCAACAAGCTCAAGATCGCTGCCACAGGATTGGTCAGACACGGGAAGTGCATATTTATCGGTTGATAAGTGAGAGCACCATTGAAGAGAATATCTTAAAGAAAGCAAACCAGAAGCGTGCGCTTGATAACCTAGTGATTCAGAATGGTGAATATAACACCGAGTTTTTCAAGAAGCTCGACCCAATGGAATTGTTCTCTGGGCATAAGACTCTGACCAAGAAGGATGAAGAGGAAAAGAGCAAGAATTGTGAGGCGGAGCTCCCTCTGTCAAATGCAGATGTTGAGGCAGCTTTAAAACATGCAGAAGATGAAGCAGATTATATGGCTCTCAAAAGAGTAGAAGAAGAAGAAGCTGTGGACAATCAAGAGTTTACTGAAGAACCCGTAGAGAGACCAGAAGATGATGAGCTAGTTAATGAGGATGATATAAAGTCCGATGAGCCTGCTGATCAAGGTGTAGCTACAGCAGGGTCGACTAAAGAAGAAGTTTTATTGTTACCCACTGATAACAGGGATGAGAGAGCTGACATGATTACTTTAAGCCAAGAAGAAGACAATGATGTACCAGATGATGTCAAGCAAATGGCTGCAGCAGCCGCCGCTTCTGGACAAGCTATCTCATCTTTTGAGAACCAACTGCGTCCTATTGATAGATATGCGATAAGATATTTAGAGGTTTGGGATCCCATCATTAATGAGGCTGCGATTGAAAATGAAGCTGGATTTGAAGAGAAAGAATGGGAACTTGACCACATTGAGAAGTACAAGGAGGAAATGGAAGCTGATATTGATGATGGTGAAGAGCCTCTCGTTTATGAGAGTAAGTATATTTTTTTGCTTATTCCATGCAATCATTTTAACTCTTATTCCTAGTTTCTCTGTATAATGTTAATTCATAGGCTGATTTTTTTTTTTTAATCTCACATGTGATGTTAATGCTATTTTCAGAATGGGATGCTGATTTTGCAACCGAGGCATACAGGCAGCAAGTTGAAGTTTTAGCTCAGCACCAGGTAAGATTAACTAATGCATCTGCAATGGCCTTCTGAATTTCAGCTTGGTCACGTTTTTAATTATTATTGTAGTTGATGGAAGATCTAGAAAATGAAGCTAGAGAGAAGGAAGCTGCAGAGGAGGCTGAAAGGCGTTTGGCACTGTAAGACACTTTTGAACCAAGTCAATATGATAATCTAGGACAATATTTTTGGAAATTATATATCAGCAATGATAGAAAAGCACTTATTTCGAGTTATTGGTTGAAACCATTGTTTTCCTCAGGAACGAAAGTGCCCCTGTACTTAAATCTAAGAAGAAGAAAAAGGTGAAGAAAGCCAAATATAAATCCCTGAAAAAGGGATCACTGGGGTCCGAATCAAGACAAGCGAAGCCAGTGGTGAAGGTTGAAGATTCGACTGATGAGGACAATGAAGAATGCGGATATGTGAGTAGCAGTGACTCAGAAATGGTCTCACCGCGTTTGCAGAAACGTATGAAAGGCAAGAAAAGAGAATTAGTCTTCGACACTGAAGAAGAAAAGAGCTCAAAGAAGAAAGCAAAGAAGCATAAGAAGTCTCTTTCACATTCAGATATCAAATGCAAGCAACAAAATGCTTTTCATGATGAACTGGTTCTATCAAAGCCGTCTGACAGTGTGGCTGTTGATAATGAATTGAAACCGGCAAACAGGGGTAAAACTTCAGGGAAAAAATTCATCATTTCTATGCCAATAAAGCGTGTTCTTATGATCAAGCCAGAGAAATTGAAGAAAGGGAATCTGTGGTCTAGAGACTGTGTTCCCTCGCCTGATTCTTGGTTGCCTCAGGAAGATGCTATACTGTGTGCCATGGTTCATGAATATGGAACTAATTGGAGTTTAGTTAGCGAGACGCTTTATGGAATGACTGCTGGTGGGGCATACAGAGGAAGGCATCGCCATCCTGCATATTGTTGTGAGAGATATAGGGAGCTTATGCAACGACATATTTTGTCTGCTTCCGACACTGCAGTGAACGAAAAGAATCTTAACGCGGGTTCTGGGAAGGCTCTCCTTAAAGTCACTGAGGTAAGGTTGACAATGCCATAGCGTTAGAAATTGATGTAAGACAGTCAGATTAGCTAATCACTAGTGTGCATCAAAGTATTATGAATTAGGGATATTCTGAAATTCGTATTGTAAACGGGGACTTGTTAATCTGCCCAGGAAGATGGTAAAGGAGATGCTTTTTCACTAATATTCTCATTTTTGGTGCAGGAAAATATGCGGGCACTCCTCAATGTTGCAGCTGAGCAGCCAGATACGGAGAAGCTCCTTCAAAGACATTTTACTTGCTTGCTATCATCAATATGGAGGACGTCAACACGCTCTACAAACAATCAGACGCTCTCCTTAAATAGTCCCATATTCAACCGACAGGTTATGGGTTCTGCGAATCGCACTCATGAACTAGCTAGAAAACCTTTTCAGGGGATGAAGATCACCAGCTTAAGTAGCAAGCTTGTAGAATCCGCTCTCCAGGACTCGAGCACGAGCCAGCCACACGATAGTACTTCTCGTTCTAGATTACAGGAGGATCAACCTATTGACAAAGTGGGATTAGACCTAACCTTGGAATTCCCACGTGGCATTGATGATGATTCGACGACTCATTTTCCACCTATCATAAAGCTATCCATTGATGCTTCAACAGATTCATTCAATTATGTGAGTGACCCTCCAGGGGAAGATAAGCTCAAATCATCTCGGGTTGCTGCAGAGGACCGTTACAGGTTTGTAACTCTATCCATGCTTAAAAGCTCTCTAGTAGTAGTGGTCACTAACGTATCAGTGGTCTTGTTTGTAGGAATGCTGCAAATGCGTGTAGTGAAGATTCATTTGGATGGGCTTCAAACACGTTCCCGGCATATGATCCCAAGTCAAGAAGTGGAGTGAAGGCACCGTCCTTGGGGAAGCACAAGCTATCCGCATCAGACACACCCAAGTCCTCGAAAAGCAAACAGCGAAAACTCTCAGCAGCAGAACAATCTGAAGTGACATGGATAAGGCGAAATGACCCTAATCTCAAGTTTGATTTTACACCTGCGGATAGGGAAGAGGACGAAGAGGAGAAGGAGCTTTCAGAAGAGGTAGAGATGATAGGTTGTTCACATTGGTATGATCCTTTGTTAACCTCAGGCCTTGATGATTATTGCTCATTAGAGTCTGAACCCTCAGGAATAGAGTAGTATAAGGCTTTTGTAAAAGTAAAAACTGCATGCAGAGAAAAATGCTGATATGCTTGTGGATGATCATTTTCTAATCTCGGCAAAAATCTTGTGTAAAATGACCAGATTTGTAGGTTTTTGTGCTTCCAGAGATCAAAATATTGAATCTAATGATTCGGTTCAACATCTGCTTCTGACTTGTTTGCATTCTCAGTCTGTTTCTAAAGTTATCTCTTAGGAAACAAAAAGAAAGGTCAATGCAAAAGTAAGACATGATAGAAGAATTCATTGTTTTCTAGAAAGTTTGGTTTTCAAGATAGTTTAGCCATTCATTGTAATCATCTAACCCTGGTTCAACCATTGGGTTACACGACTCATGATCTGATTGCTTATAAATTTCTAGCGAGTCCGGTTTAGATACAGGAGGCTGAAGAAGCTGGTACTCTTGAAAAAGAAACTCCAATGATTGCGGTGCATTCACTTCAAATCCACAAGCCATATCCTCCACTAAGATTTCCTCAAACTCCTCTTTCTGATCACGCTTCTCACCGTTAGAAACCTCATTAGAGACTGATGAGGAGGACGAGGAAGAAGAGGCCATTGAAGAAGTTTGATTGGTAACATTTGATGATGATGCTGATGCTGATGCTGAGTTGCTCTTCATCAATCGTTTCGTGAGATGAGTGTTGCACACATTCTTGATCTCATTGTCTGTTCTTCCCGGCAAGTGTGATGCAATCTTTGACCACCTGATCAATCAATGCATTAGTTATACTTCTTGCTTAAGATATAGAAGATGAGTAAGATTAGGAAGACATGGCTTTACCTGTTTCCAAGAGTTTGGTGAAGGTGGATAATGGTATCTTCCTCCTCTTTGGTGAAGTTGCCTCGTTTCAGACCTGGTCTCAGATAGTTTATCCATCTTAGACGGCAACTCTTTCCGCATCTCTTTAATCCTATATTGTTTTTAAGTTAAAAACATACATTATTAATCATGACCACCAAAACTATATACTTAACTTAGTCAAATAAACAATACATTCGTTAATTTATATGTTCGATTTTATTTACATACTTTTACAAGTTAACCATATATTTAAAAAGTTTATCACATCTTCCGGTAATACTCTGTATATATCTGTAAAATATCAACTAATTTAGTTTAAGGAAATGAAGGTATTATATAAGAAAGTTACAGATTGTGCCATTGTGGTCAAACATCCATATTTTATTCTTTAAAGAAAAATATACTTCCTTTATTAAAAAAAAACACCAAATTAGATCTTAACTGAACAATTTAAGTACAGCTTGCGTGAATTAGAAACCCTCAAAACGTGTTCTAAGATATTATTGTTTGTTGTTCAAAAAAAACAAAGATATTATTGCTTAAATATGTAGAAATTGTGACAAGAGAGTATGAAACATCTCCGAGAACAACAAAAATATCAATATTCAATTTCATGAAATATTAGTCTATTCAAGAACAGATTGTATCTTTAACAAAACGAAAAAAATGTGTATGCGTCTTATCAAATTAAAGAACATTAAGCATTTCAGAGGGAGAGAAAATGAATTTAAACAGATTTATGTAGAATACATGAAAATGAATATGAGAGAGTGTGAACATGCAATGTGATAGAGAGGATCTTTAACAAATTTGTGGAAAAAAATTGGTAAAAAATAAATAAAGTTTTGTGAAAGAATAACCGACCAGCGAGTTTAGGAAGAGATCTCCAGTTGTGATGACCGTTTTTAAGGATAAAAGCTTTGAGCCTTTCACTTTCTTCATCACTCCATGGCCCTCTTCTAACTTGGCTGTTGTCACAGCATGGCGCTCTTCTCTTCCCCATCACATACACACACTTTAATTTTTAGATAATCTGATTGATATTCATGTTTATATACACAAAAGTAAGTGACATCATCACAGATAAGGGTTATGAGACCACAATGGTCATGCCACTTATTCATGTGCAAGTAAATATAATCCGCTTGAATTAACAGAGAAAAAAATTAATAGAATTTGAATATCTATTTCGCATATTTTTTTATTTTATTAATAGTTGACCTCTTTGAGACATTATTCCCGTCTTAAATCCATATATATCTACAATATTTTCCCTTTTTATCGCACAATATTTTTTTCAACTAAAATCAAATTTTTTTTCTTTACTGGATTATATTTTCAAAGGCTCAAAGTATATTTTCAGATTGTTTTGTTCTGGAACACTAATTTAAATATAAATGTTGACTCTAGAAAGTCATACTATTAATTAATTATATTTTGTTGGCAAAAGTAAATATTGAATGTTGACTATTAGACAGTAAGCGGGCATGGAAGATCTTTGTTTGATAAAAATATAGTTATGGACCTTGACTTTATGTAAAAAAATCATCTAATTATTTGTCATTGTTTCTTATAGAAAATATGCATTGCTGTTTGCTAAGGAAACGTCCAAATTTATAAGTTTTTTCTTTTATCTGTCAAACAAAATCTGTAAGATTTTATTCTAGTTAAAAAGTATTAATGAGTAATAAGTACGGAGATGATATGTATGTAATAAGTGGTGGAGCCACGTTATGTAACAGAGGAGGGGAGGTGGCATACAGGGTCGATCCGAAGCATAAGCGAAGTAAACGATCGTTTAAGACTTCATAATTTTAAGTGATAATTTTAATTATATATGGAGCATTATAAAAAGAATTTACATAAATAATAAAGATATAAAATAATAAGTAAACTTAGAGAATCAAGAAAAATGAAAATGTTGGACCTGACACTGATGACATCTGTCCTAGTGCTTTTTCAAAATTATATGTCAAAATATTGAATAGTTTCAGTTATGCCCCCTTTTGTTTATAGCAAAATTATCAATAATTTTGGAACAATTTTAATTATGTTTTCTAGAAATGTTTTTTCTACCTCTGTCCCTGTATGCAATATGTTTATTATTATTTTTTTGTAAAAAAATAATATGTTTATTAATAGAAGGTACCGTTTTAATTGGTTCATAAATGGGATGACCGCGCTAAATTAACTTGAATATTAGCTGACAAATTTGAAAATATTAATTCATCGTCAACATTCGAGAGTAAGCACTAAATAAGACAAACTAAAAACATTTAAAAAAAAAATAGAGAGAGAGATGTTTTGTGAAATAGTGGAATAAAAATACGATGAAATAAAAATTACCTTCTCAAAAAATGATAAGAGTAGAATGCATGCTGCCTCCTGCCTTCCAAACACCAACTTGTCCTATATATTTTCACTTGACTAGATCTACCAAGGATGTGAGCATCTGTTATGTCTTCTTTGTACAACACACGTCGTCGTCTAACTTGTTTAAGTCTCTACGTGCCTGGCTGATGATCATATTTATATAAAAATAGATTCGCTTAGCTTGATATATCATTTGGAAACAGACGTTTGAAATTCGAGATTTTCGAGTTTTGAAAGAGATAAATCTTCCATTTCCAGAATATACTGGGCCTTTATAGGCTTTGAAACAAAAAATGGACTCTACAGTTTGTTCTGTTAAGCAGATTAGCAAACGCAACTCAGTGACGGAAGCCCAATGACACAGTTTATAATATTATCCTTTTATGTAATCTTCAACTGCAACATACTCCCTTTAGGATTATGACAAAACTATAATTTTTATTAATTTATAATAATTATTAATTTATCGATATAATAATTAAACTAAAAATTTAATTTAAAATTATATTATTTTATAAAAAAATTTAGAATATATTAATTTATAGAATATTAATTTAAAGAAGTTATATTGTAATAAATTTTAATCAGACTATAATTAACCTCAATCTTTTAACTGAAAGTTTTACTTTCGGATAAGAGATAGTAGTTTTAAAATTTTTAGATTTTAGTTTTTAAAAAAAACTAAAAACTATCTTTTAATTAAAAATATAAAAACTATTTTTTAACTAAAAATATATATTTAAAAATTTGAAATTTATAATAATCTCAGCTAAAAAACCGTGGTTAATCATCATCAATCACGAAATCAGTCGCTTCCTCCGAGCAACATAATTCCATTCACTGAAATCATGAAATGAGCTGCCCAAGCTTCTTATGGCCCTTGCAATTTATGAATATTTTATTTTAAAATGAAATTTATATAATAACATGTTATCATTTCGACCTCATTTTTAATGGCATTATCAACAAATGACATTTTTATTATAAGTTCTTTGTCATTTCAGTTACTTGGTGCTTACCGTTGAAAGATGCTTGATGAATAATCATGAAGAAAATATCGGTTTCACACTAGGACAAATATCATAATTAATATGTTCACTAGAATAATTAAAGAAGATTATTAAACTTTCATTTAGTTGCTTTCCATCAAACAACTAAATGAATTTGAAGGTAATATGTGGCTCGATGTTTCCGACTATATTAAATATGTACGTACGTGTTAAATCTAAACATCACTACGTACGTTATAATGTAAATGTTTATACACCGACGAACCGACCTTTTTAAAAATTCTGGTTGCCTTGACTAGTTGGATCAGTCGAGTCGAGTTTAGTGTATATATTTATAAACGTATTGATTGGCAATAAATAGAACAAAACAAAAGAAACATAGAGTTAATGATTGTCTGCTTTATATAACCGGCATGTGATGCAACATGGGAAATCATATAAATGGACGAAATTTCAAACTCTATTATTACCCTTCCTCAGATTCGTCACGCAGCCAATAATTAATTACCTGTTTTAATTAACTTGTGAAGAGTATATTGATACATATTATCATTGGACATTGAGAATCCATAGATGCGGGACAGTTAAACTTCCACATGTAGCTCACTCGGGTCGTATAAAAGCATATACACATGTGCTGGGGCATTTATATTGATGTGTGGTTGATTAACATACAACGAAGGTTACCTGAAAAGGTCATAAGAATGATGTGTGTCTACACGCGAATAGTATGCTTCAAATGCAAACAAAGTGAGATGGCATATTTACATTTATAGTAGATCATAAATTTATAATATATGCTTTTGTAGCGAGCTCATCAGTTTACCATGTCTGCTCAAGTCAAGTGATGGCTCGAAAATTCTACAATACGATTTAATCATTGTTAATCATAGTATATGCAGATCAAACTAGAATAATATTCAGCTCTTTCACGACTTTTCAGGGCTTCTTTAGTTTTATAATTATAACAAGTTGGTGTTTAATATTGTTTTTGTGGCCTAAGGATATATATTTGGACTAGACATCAAATTTGAGATTTAATGTGTTTGGATCTGAGAGGATGGAACTACATATGCAACCCACATGATTTTGTATAACTTTCTCGGTAAATTCAGTTATAGTATATTTTCAGTATTAACCATTTTTGTCAACAGTATTTACTAAGCATTTTGACACTATACCGTACTTATAAAATACGGAAATATATAAAGAAGTCGATAACTAAAAGTGAAAGTAACAGAAAATTAATTTAGACTCAGAAAATGTTTTTTTACAAGAGCTCGAAAACAGGATTTTTGTTTTTGTCTCTCAACTCCTCTTACTCATTTATTTGTTTAACTTGAAAAATATATAAAACAGAGTTACGAAATTTGTTAAAACAATTCAACCCATCAGTATGTGTAATGGTCTACATCGGAACTAGATATAATTTTTTGACAATTCACTAATAGTCTAAAAAGAAGAGTATAGTTCAATCTCATAACTCACTGTACAACAATAGCGAGAAAATGAAACTTTCAATGAACCGACTGAAGAGTTGGTTAAAGAAAAAGAAGTTAGAGATTTAATATTTATACTTAAAGCACTTGTATACTTAATAAAATCTCAACAGCAATACGAAAATTTGGTTTTGTAATTTCTTCTTTTTTAGTCTAATGCTTAATACGCTTTATTCAATTTCCGCTCAGTTTAAACCGATACTAACAGAAATTGAATAAGATGCAGATTAACCTAATTCTTAGGTAAGGAATTGACGAATATGACAATCTCGGTGAAACATCAAATCCCTCTCTCATTTTTTGGCTCAATAGGTACCAAAAAGAATTAAAGATGCTGGAATGTTCTTCATATAATAAAACCAGAAATTACGCAATTTCCATATATATATCTCCACAAGAGTTTCAAACCGATAACTAAACCGGTGAAAAATAGGAAAATTGCAACAAACAAACATATATACATCAACACCAACTAAGTATTATTACTCTGTGTCTGAACAAAAAAAAACCAACCAGATCCACCTCTCTCTCTCTACCTAACCAAAGATTCCTCTAAAATTAAAGCTTCTTCACATACACTCCTCGCTGATTAGATCTTGTATGTCACTAGGAACCGCTAAACCAAGCCGAACCGACTCCATAATACGCTCAAAAACAAGAACGTGACAAGGAATTTGCAAAACTCCTTTCTGCTCGTAACCATACTCCTGAGCCGACCGTTTCAACAAACCGATGAAAACCGGGTGGTTAAGCACCTCTGCACTCACCAAGAACCTCTCCATCTCCTCTCCCACGTAGACAGGCACGTGTCCTTCAGGAACAGAGGACATGTGTTTCTTTAAGCGGCGAGCCATAGAAGACCGGAGGGAAAATTCTGAACGGCGGCTCCGTCGTTGAGAATCTGACCGGAGGAGATTGTAGTGAGTGGAGTCAGCCACGCGGGAGAGACGGCGGATCAGATGCTTCATCTTCTTGTTGTTGTGTGAGAGATAGAGAGAGAGAGAAGAGTGATGAAACTGGTTGAGCTGTAAGAATGAATGAGTAGGTGGTGTTGAAGGAAAGAGAGGAAGGTGTTGAGATTTTATATAGAGGCGAGGGTAGTTATGGAATTTCGGCTTCGAATAAAAGTGGGTCCGGAAGGAGTACTTGCCAGGTACACTTACTCGGTAATTTTCGACTTGACTATTAAAAGAAAAAAAAATGAATATATTAATGCTCAATTTAAAACCACAAGAACAAATAAAATATCTTTGATTTTTTTAACATAAAAGGAAAACGACTGATTTTAGTTCTCGTTATTTTGTTTTATATAGTTAAATTGTTTGGATTTTATAACAGAAAATACAAGACTTGACTTTTAAATATAGAAAAATCAAATTCCTAATTAAAAAAGGAAAATAATACTTAATATAGATATATGTTTATATATTTGTATAATTTTATCTACCTCTTATATATATTCATGGCTGTGACTCTTTAGATTAGTTTTCTAAGATTTTTACTTGTAATAAAAATCATGCGTTATCTTAACTGGATATATCAAAAATAACACATGATTATAATAAAGAGATGTTTAAGCATTATCTTAACTGGATATATCAAAAATAACACATAATTATAATAAAGAGATATTTGATTAATAATGCCTTTTGATTAATACTCCCTCCGCTTCATTTTAATTGTCATTCTAAGTTTTTGCACACAGATAAAAGAAACATTTAATTTTACATATTTTCAAGAAAAAAATACAATTAACTATACACCTAACCACTTTTCAACCAATAGAAAAATAAAATATTATATAAAACTAATAAATTTTATCTCTAAAACGACACTTATTTTGAAACGAATTTTTTCTCCCAGAATGACAATTAATTCGAAACGGAGAGAATAGTTGGTATATGTCTAATTCGACCCCCCCCCCCTAGTATATTTTGACTATTGGTAAACAAGGTTCGTTAATAATTCAAAACATATATATACATATTCAATTCAATATATATCTTGCTTTAGATACACACAACAACACCAACAAATTTTTGGTTTAGATGCTTCCATGCATATTCATTTCCACGGATTATGATCCTAGATTATGTAGCTAACAACATTCCCTAGCTTATCCTATCAAAATATACATATAGATACGGAGCAAGGGATACATCGACTCGGTTTTTCATTTATCAAAAAATAACTACATCGCCGCGTTACGCCACCGCCATGCATGATTGCAATGTAAATTCACTTCGCATTAGAATCAGAACATAATTTTTTTCTTTTATGTTGGGGCATCATGTTAAAAAGTTGGAAAGTGTTTTACGTTTGGGTACCATGCATGTTATGTAGCATAAAACCAAAGAGCGATCAAATAGAAGAGACCAAGGATAGACCTTTGTGTATATATATACTGTGTTTTACATTGATTCATTGCAATATGGTGTCATTTTTTAACATTGATATGGTGTCATTCATTTTATTTGATTCATTCTATCTTGACCTCAAAAAGAATGATATATATTTCCACAATCATAACAATATTAATTATTATTTTTATGGAATAGAAAAAATCTGTCTAATGGCTAATGATTATTCATCGTCTAACATGGCGGAATTA